TCTCCGAATCGGAACGGATGCAAGGGAGCTCCTGATGAGGCGCGGTGCGAGGCAGCGTGCATACGCCCAACGGAACTCTTTCTAATATCACTGCTCTCCTCTTCTTCAGAGTTGCTCACGGGTACTCGAACTCGTCGCCAATGCATCGCCAGCTTACTACTGGAATGTCGTTCCGTTGGACGCGCACTCTCAACGGCTACGCCATGTTGGACCTGCATCGCCAGAGCATCTAAAAAGGCATCATCAACGTCGCCAGCGCTTGTATCTGTTGTCCTTGTTCAACAAGCCGAAACTTCTGTGACAGGCGTGGACGAGCAAGGGAGGCTGCCGCGGCGCGCGCGCCAGTGCCTGTCCTGGGCTGCTATGCAACTCTGCCTTACGCGCGCTCTCCATCATCTGCGACATGCGCGGTCGCGGGCAGCCACGCGCTCGCAGGTCCGCCCGCACGGAAGTGTAGGATGCAGAATTGTATCCGAATCTCAGGCCTGCGAAGCAACCAGACGAGGACGGCTGGTCGCGCAGGCGTCAAACCTACGTCATCACGGCGATGTATCTCCGATGCGTCGCCCGTGGTCCTGCGTTGATATGTGCGTGTTCGGCACGACCAAGAATGCACATCCCGAATGCATTGAGTTCGGTCGTGCCGTGGCCTTCTGTCTCACTATCAGGTACACAACGTGATGTGCACGTGGACCACTGACGCTCGTGCCCTGCAATGTCGACATCGCCACTGCGTCGGCCAGCCCGGGAGTGATCCAACTACCAGCAGCGCATCGCCAAAGCATCGGGCGTTGCTCCAAGGCAGAACAGACGATAGTATGAGAGTCAGACTAAGAGAAGAATTTCTTGGGTGGTAGTTCTTTGTCACGTAAGTGCAGAGGCGCATCGGGAACCGCGCGTAAACGAAAAGACTGGGCTGCAGCACGAAAACGGGAACATCGTGCTGGGGCGCCTCTGTGCTGCACAGCGATCCCCACTTTCCATTGCATTGCCTGTGTTCTCTCCCCCTCCCAACTTCACCGCCGTGCACCGTGTGCTCCACACACGGCCGACTCACAGGCGCCCGCCCTCTCTGGCAGACCGAACCCCTACGGCTTCTTCTTGGGCTGTGGCACGCCAGCGCCGCCCGCAGCAGTCTGCTGCGACGCGTACCAAGCCTCGCACGTGTCCGCCGCGGCCTTCACGGCGCGGAAGTGCGGGGTCGTCACACTATTCTTCGGGGCCGCGGCCATGCCCGCGAGCTCCTCGTGGAAGGCAGCGACGCCGGCATAGTCACGGACCGCTGGCGGAAGATCGTCAAAGAACCGTTTCGTCTCGTCCAATGTCGGGCTGCTGGCAAGGAAAACCTCCGCCTGGGAGCCCGCTGCCTGTGCGTCGCTGAGCTTCCACTGGGTGAATGCGGTTTCCTGGGCGGACGCCGACTCCGGAGGTTTGGATCGTTTGTCACTGGGAGACTTCGGCTTCTGCGACTCGAACCATGCAAGGGCCTCCTCCGTCGTCGTCTTCACCTTGACCACGAACGCCTCCACCGTGGCCGCGCGTGCCATCCTCACCAGGCCACCCACGCTCTTGCAGGAAGAAGTAAGACCCGCCGCGGCTGCGACGTCCTCGGGCAAGTCTGTGGCAATGGTTTTGAGGGTGACCAAATCTGTCGGCTTCCCGTCACAGTCGTGGATAATCTTAAGCAGGGCCGTCGCGGCTGTCTCTCCCCACGAAGTCCAGGCAATCTCCGAGGGCGTCAGGGCGTCCTCGTCCGCGAACATGTCCTCCTCTACTGGCGGGGAGTTGTCGCGGGGACCGCCCCCGCGCTTGCTGTCCTTCTCTTTGCCACTGCTCTTGCGGCCACCACCAGATGTTTTCGCAGACTTCTTGCCCGTGCCTTTCTTGTCGGGCTCAGGGTCTTCAGAGTCGGGCTTCCTCTTCTTCTCCTTCTTCTTGCGCTTCGTGTCGTCCTCCGACTTGTGCGTGGTCTTCTTGGAAGCTTTGCCCTTGGCGCCATCATCAGACTTCCCCCCGCTGCCACTCTTGTTCTTCTTGGAGCTCTGCTTCTTCTTGTCCTTCTTCTTCTTGGAGCTCTTTTTCTTTTTCCCATTGTCGGAGCTGCTCGAGGAGTCGCTGTCGCTGCTGGAAGACGTGGTCGACGTGCTGCTGGCGTCTGCCTCCGCACACGCGTCGCCGAAGGAGAACCTCTTCTTCTTCACCCCTTTCTCGTCAGCCTCCTTATGAATGCCAGCCGCGAAAGCTGCCGCCAGAGTGTCCAGGTTGGGCTTCGATGTGAACTTGTTCCAGGTGGCGTGCTGCTTCGCTAAGTCCCCGGACCCGAGGTACTTGCCCCAGTCCTTGACCGCGACGGAGAGCGCAGTCAATTCCATGCACGCGAACGCCGCCGCCGCCATGCGACTGGCCGCGTCGGCGAGAGTTGCGTACTGCGCCATGCGCTCCTCTGCAGAGGATTTCCGTCCGAAATGCTGCAAGAGCGTCTCCGCTGCCGAGCGGCTGGCGTTCTTGTCTAAGTCGCCGCGGCCCGCTTGGAGAGCGTGGAGAGGGCCCTGCAATTCCATGAGCTCGGCGAACACGGCCTCCATCCCCGTCGTCTGGCCGAAGGCTGCGGCGTCGGCGTGCTGCGCCGCCGCGACGTCGAGCCCGGCCGCGAGGTTAAGCACGGCGTGCTTGCCTCCCTGGCCGGGAGCTTTCAAGAGATATGAGGACTCTGGAGTCAGCAGCTCCTGAACCTTCTCCAAAGTGAAAAACTCCGCGCCGGGCTCGCCAGACGTGAGCAGGAGCAAGCCGTTCTCGTCCGCCCAGGAGCGGGTCTGAGCTTTCCCGAACACTTTCCACAGCGGAACGGCAGCGAAGGGTTTCTTCCCCGTCTTCTGAGTGGCGGAGGGCGCCATGCGGCCGACCACAAGGAGACGTCGAGGCGCGCGAGCGTGGTGGCCGGGCGAACTGCGGGAGCGTCCAGTCGTCTTGGAGCCGAAATGATTACAGACATGGGCTGTGTGTGACCAAGCACAGTCTGTCAGCGATGCATCATCTTGACTAACGCATGCCCATCATGCGGGAACATGGACACCTGTCCACTGGTGACTCACTTTCCAGCGTGTCTCTCTGCGCTCGTGCACCACCCCCTTTGGTTCGTCAGAGCCACCTCCATCTCAGGGATACGGGCACTTTGGAGCATGCGGAGCCCCGCGCCCGTGGTCTCACAGAGCCAAGCACTGGAAAGACGCGCACACACTTCAATTCAGGCTCTCGCCACCGCCTCCCGGTTCAAGCACGAGCCCTCCGTCCGCGGCCGCAGGTGCTCTCTCACCAGCTCCTTGGGTTTTTTTCTGACAATATGGCCAAGTCTGGAAATCTCTTTTTTCAAGCAGGCTTAATTTTAGAATAGACACGCAGGGTGTCGCTCTCTTGGCGCGGGGTCCATATGTAATTCAGGAAATAACAAGGAGCGCCCATGAACGCAGTAGCTACGTGCAGGGGTCGTATGCTGCGGCAGCGTGCTCGCCGATAAGCGGTCCAGTGAGCATGCGTCCTACGGTGCCTCTGCTACTTGGTGCTCTCCCACGTGCCTGAGTTGTTGACGGCTACTCGGTCGCATCGCCAATGCATTGCCAGTCTGCTGGTTGAATACTATCTTTGGGGAAATTTCTATGAGGGTCCAACACGTAGAGTACACACTGCATTCTTTGAGTTGAACACGCAGTAAGGCCCCGAGACGAAGCGCATCGCCGGTGCATCAGCAAACCACCTCATCTTCTCCGCCGACGCTTGTTTCTGCTCCATTCTCGAACGCCCCCGCGTGTGCAGGTATTATCCTTGCAATGGTATATCCATGCAGCAGCGCCGTAAGACAGGAAACCTTAGAGTTATGCTGCGAGCGAGGTACGATGGGAAAGTGTGGGTGCACGGAGTATGGCAATTTGCCTTGGAGTCCGCTGGCGCGCAAACGGGAAGTCTCTGCGCCGCGGGGTGAGTGAGTAGTGAGCGGAAGCTCTCCGCCCTGTGCAGCGCGAGCATACAATCCAGAGACTGCGGCATGGCGACACACGTGTACTCCGGTACTCGCTGCGCGCTCGACGCGCGGCGCAGGCGCGCTCGGCCCGCGGTCCTGGTTATGTTCTTTTGCAGTAGGGACGTCTCATTCCAACAACATAATTGAAGAGCGCGGCGTGCCTAGATCTCCCCGGACACCCTTCGAGCGCCTGCGGGCCCCAGAGGAGCGTGGAGCACACCGTGCGTGTTCTGTCACATTCGAAAAACTCAATCTGGGCGTTCGAATGTAAAAAACATCAGAGCATTCTGATGTCTCTCGTGGCGACGAAGACCAGGCGGTACATCTTTGGATATGACAGAGGAGTCACCTAAAGATGTCTGCCACGGGACGACGACGGCCTGGATGATCGGAAGACTTCCGAGATGGCTTCAAAACGGGTAGCTCTGAAAGAGCAGGGCCCATCCCCCAAGAGAATCATACGGAGAGCGCCAGCACATTCGGCAAGTGCCCCGAAAATTCTTCGCGGTGCGCATAGTACACAGCTTGGTTTCTGAACTGCTAGGATTTCCTGGCACTTTCATACAATAACGAAGCCTCTGAAAGAGTCAGGCGTGTGCCTCAGAAGGTCTGCAAAGCCTTGTGGGCGCTAGTGTCTTTCGCGAAAGGTACGAGCGCGACCTCGACCCCGGAGGATTGAGCGAAGCGCCCGTGCCCTTCCCCAGGAGCCACCACGTGGAGGTTAGACTTGGCTCCCTGAGTTCCGCGCGGATATGAACGCCCCATCGAACGGTGCCCCCGCGCTACTTTCCAGCTCGCGGAGCGTTCGACGGGGAGCCCACGTCCGCGCAGAAGCTCCTCTCGCCCGCGAGCCTCTTCCGAAGAAGCTCGCGGACGAGAGCGCGGCAGCGGCAGCGGCAGCGGCGGCGTCGGCAAGCGTTCTCATACAACGCAGCGGTTCCGGCTGCGTGGCCGCAGCGCTCCTCCGCTCAGGGCTTCTGGGCCTTCACCAGCGCCCGCTGCCGCCCCAGCAGCGCCTGCTGCGCTCCGCCGGCTGCTGCGCTCCAGTGCGCTGGCGCTGCGCCGCCAGCTCCGCCTTCGTCTCTGTCAGCTCGTCCTTGTAGCTGGCGGCCTTCTCTCGTGAGGCCTCGAGCTGGTCGGAGAGGGTGTTGATTTGAGTCATCAGAGCAGTCTTGTGGCCGACCTCGAGGTGGTAGTTGGCCCGGATCCTCTTGGTCTTCTGCAGGTGTTCCTACACAGGCCACGCGCAACGCGGAAGCCGCGCCGTTCCCTAGGGAAGTGAAGACACGCAGAAGAAAAGTGTTTTCTTCTAAGTCTCTTTTCCAAGGAGCGGCGCGGTTTTCGCGGTGAGCGGAACCCCGTCGCCTCCGTGGCCTCCAGCGCGTCCTCGGCGCGTGCAGCGTGGTGTTCTTCGCGGAGCCGCGCCACAGTAGCCTCCTGGCGCGCCTCCGCGTCCTGCAGGGCCGCGCGGGCCTCGGCTGCGTCGTCCGCCTCCGCCTGGGCTTCGCGGCGAGCCTGGAGGAGGTCGCGGACAAGCTCGAAGTTGCAGGCAGCGTTCTCGCGGTAGCTCTCCGCGAGTTCCTGCCGAGCTGTCTCGGCCAGGCGGCGGGCACTGGCGGCGTCTGTGCGCGCAGCCGCCGCCTCCTCCTCCGCGCGCTTCAAGGCTTCCAGCAGCGCAGCCTTGCAGGGCAGGAAGTTCTCCGGGTTCCTGTCCCAGGGAGGCGCCTGTTGCTGCGGGCCGCGGCGCGCCAGGAGCCGCGCGGGGCGTGGAGAGGGGTAGTGCTCGCTCATTCCGCCGCGGAGAGCAGGGAAGCAGGAGCAGGGAGCTTGAGCCAAACTAGTTACAGATAAAGAAGGTGAGAGACCTCGTCTTCCGCTGCGGGACGGCAGGCCGAGAGTTTCTCCGCAGCAGCGGGATTCGTCACAGAGAACCACCCTTCGGCAGGCAAGGAGGAGGCTCAGCCAGGCAGTACTTGCTCGCCTCAGGGTGGCACTCCGCGAAAGCTTACACAATCAATTTTGCAGAGTCGCCTCGCCAGGAGCTCGAAGGCGTCGATGCTTGTGCAACCGAAAACGCCCACGCAATTCTGACAGCCAGACTTCGTGTCTTCGGAAACGTTGCTGTGTGCGTCTGCTGCTCATCGACGCACGATGACGAGATGACGCACGACGGAGACGTGCGCCAGCGTCTGCGCATCTCGGCCAGGCTGGAGCCTGACGGATTCGTCTTCATCGTCCTCGTAGTCTCTGAAACGTTGTGTTTCATGCCTTTCGTCGTCGTCGGTGTCTTCGTGGCGCGAGTGTGCGCGTGTGTGTTATTTTATTAGTGTTCTGCACGGTTTGTCTTCCGCGCGGGTTCTGTGCGCGCGCGCGTCTCGCACAGGCTCAGCAACTTCGGGTCCCCGCGCGCAGCCAGCGCGCAGCGCAGGGAGTCTCCCACCGCTCGCAAAATTTGTTTATATTGTTTTTCGTTTGTATGTTTTGTCTTGCGCGCTATGTGCGCGCGCGCGTTTCCCAAGTCCGGCGGTTTCGGGTTCCCACGCGCAGACAGCGCGCAGCGCAGGGGGTCTCCTCCCGCTCCCAGGGACGGCCGTCGCCCCTTGCCAGTCGGATTGGCGTTCAGTTTGTCATGGGTTGGTCGCCCAGCTGGTTAGGTAAGTGCCTTCGTGGGGATGTTTGACGACACGCTCAGGTCGCAGACATGACGGCGACGATGACAACACTCTTGAGGGGCCCCAAGCACGACAACGACGATGACGGTGGCTCGTGGAGCTGCATGAGCGGCCAGTTCTTCCTCGAAAGGCCTCACACACGACTGACGCGCTTCAAGGCACCACACACGACGACGACGATGACGACGCCTTTGAGGGGCCCCAGGCACGACGACGACGATGACGGTGGCTCCTGGAGCGCAAGGAGCAGCCAAGACCTCCTGGAAGGGACCTCCTCGAAGGGCGCCACACACGACGACGACGATGACGACTGCGCCCGACGACGACAACGATGGCGGTGGCTTCTGGAGCTCCAGGAGAGGCCGGGCCTCCCTCGCAGGGCGCCACACACGACGACGACGATGACGACGCCCTTGAAGGGCTCCAAGCACGACGACGACGACGACGGCGGTGAGCTCCAGGAGCGGCCGGGGCCTCCTCGAAGGGCGCCACACAGGACGACGACGATGACGACGCCCATGAGGGGCCCCAAGCACGACGATGACGATGACGGTGGTTCCTGGAGCTCCACGAGCGGCCGGGGCCTCCCTCGAAGGGCGCCGAACACGACGACGACGATGACGACGTTCTTGACGGGCCCCACACACGACGACGACGATGATAGCTCCTGGAGCTCCAGGAGCAGCCGGGGCCTCCCTCGAAGAGCGCCACGTACGACGACGACGATGCAACGCCCTTGAGGAACCCCAAGCAAGACGACGACGATGACGGTGGCAGTTGGAGCTCCAGGAGCGGCCGGGGCCTCCCTCGAAGGGCGCCGAACACGACGACGACGATGACGACTCTCTTGAGGGTCCCCAAGCACGACGACGACGATGACGGTGGCTCCTGGAGCTCCAGGAGCGGCCGGGGCCTCCCTCGAAGGGCGCCACACACGACGACGACTTTACGACGCGCTTGAGGGACCCCAAGCACGACGACGAAAGGACGGGGGCTCCTGGAGGTCCAGGAGCGGCCAGGACCCCCTCGAAGGGCACCACACAAGACGACGATGACGACGCCCTTGAGAGGCCCCAAGCACGACGACGACGATGACGGTGGCTCCTGGAGCTCCAGGAGCGGCCGGGGCCTCCCTCGAACGGCGCCACACACGACGACGACGATGACGACGCCCTTGAAGAGCCCCAAGCACAACCACGATGACGGTGGCTCCTGGAGCTGGAGGGGGGCCGGGGCCTTCCTCGAAGGGCACCACACACGACGACGACGATGACGACGCTCTTGAGGGGCCTCAAGCACGACGACGACGATGACGGTGGCTCCTGGAGCTCTAGGAGCACCCGGGGCCTTCCTCGAAGGGCGCCACACACGACGACGACGATAACGACGCTCTTGAGGGGCTCCAAGCACGACGACGACGATGACAGTGGCTCCTGGAGCTCCAGGAGCGGCCGGGGCCTCCCTCGAAGAGCGCCACACACGACGACGACGATGACGACGCTTTTGAGGAGCTCCAAGCACGACGACCACGATGAATGTGGCTCCTGGAGCTCCAGGAGCGGCCGGGGCCACCCTCGAAGGGCGCCACACACGACGACGACGATGACGACGCCCTTGAGGAGCCCCAAGCACGACGACGACGATGACGGTGGCTCCTGGAGCTCCAGGAACGGCCAGCCTCCCTCGAAGAGCGCCACACACGACGACGACGATGACGACGCCCTTGAGGGGCCCCAAGCACGCGAACGATGATGATGGCTTTTGGAGCTCCAGGAGCGGCCGGAGCCTCCGTCGAAGGGCGCCACACACGCAACGACGATGACGACGCCCTTGAGGGGCCCCAAGCACGACGACGACGATGACGGTGGCCCTTGGAGCTCCAGAAACGGCCGGGCCTCCCTCGAAGGGCGCCACACACGACAACGACGATGACGACCCTGTTGAGGAGCCCCAAGCACGACAACCACGATGACGGTGGCTTCTGGAATCCAGGAGCGGCCAGGGCTTCCCTCGAAGATCGCTAGACGACGACGATGACGACGCCCTTGAGGAACCTACGACGACGACGATGATGGTGGCTCGTGGAGCTCCAGGAGCGGCCGGGGCTTCCCTCGAGAGCGCCACACACGACGACGACGATAACGATTCCCTTGAAGAGCCCCAAGCATGACGACGACGATGACGGAGGCTCGTGGACGTCCAGGAGCGGCCGGGGCCTCCCTCGAAGGGCGCCACACACGACGACGACGATGACGAGGGAACCAGGAGCGGCCGGGACTCCCTCGAAGGGGACCACACAAGACGGCGATGACGACGCCCTTGAGGGGCTCCAAGCACGACGACGACGATGACGGTGGCTCCTGGAGCTCCAGGAGCGGCCGGGGCCTCCCTCGAACGGCGCCACACACGACGACGACGATGACGACGCCCTTGAAGAGCTCCAAGCACAACCACGATGACGGTGGCTCCTGGAGCTGGAGGGGGGCCGGGGCCTTCCTCGAAGGGCACCACACACGACGACGACGATGACAACGCCCTTGAGGGGCCTCAAGCACGACGACGACGATGACGGTGGCTCCTGGAGCTCTAGGAGCACCCGGGGCCTTCCTCGAAGGGCGCCACACACGACGACGACGATAACGACGCTCTTGAGGGGCCCCAAGCACGACGACGACGATGACAGTGGCTCCTGGAGCTCCAGGAGCGGCCAGGGCCTCCCTCGAAGAGCGCCACACACGACGACGACGATGACGACGCTTTTGAGGAGCCCCAAGCACGACGACCACGATGAATGTGGCTCCTGGAGCTCCAGGAGCGGCCGGGGCCACCCTCGAAGGGCGCCACACACGACGACGACGATGACGACGCCCTTGAGGAGCCCCAAGCACGACGACGACGATGACGGTGGCTCCTGGAGCACCAACGGCCAGCCTCCCTCGAAGAGCGCCACACACGACGACGACGATGACGACGCCCTTGAGGCCCCAAGCACGCGAACGATGATGATGGCTCTTGGAGCTCCAGGAGCGGCCGGAGCCTCCGTCGAAGGGCGCCACACACGCAACGACGATGACGACGCCCTGTTGGGGGGTTCCAAGCACGACGACGACGAGGGAGCTCGAAACAGACGCGCTTGTGAGAGCCCGCGGCCGAAACAGCACCCAAGGGAGCTCGAAACAACACCCTTGAGAGAGTCTGCGGCCAAAGGAGCACCAAGGGAGCTCGAAACAGACGCGCTTGAGAGAGCCCCCGGCCGCAGCAGCACCCAAGGGAGCTCGAAACAGACGCGCTTGAGAGAGCACGCGGCCGAAGCAGCACCCAGGGGAGCTCGAAAGAGACGCGCTTGTGAGAGCCCGCGGCGGAAACAGCACTCAAGGGAGCTCGAAACAGACACCCTTGAGAGAGTCCGCGGCCAAAGGAGCACCCAAGGGAGCTCGAAACAGACGCGCTTGAGAGAGCCCGCGGCCGAAGCAGCACCCAAGGAGCTCGAAACAGACGGCTTGAGAGAGCCCGCGGCCGAAGCAGCACCCAAGGGAGCTCGAAACAGACACGCTTGAGAGAGCCCGCGGCCGAAACAGTATCCAAGGGAGCTCGAAACAGACACCCTTGAGAGAGTCCGCGGGCAAAGGAGCACCCAAGGGAGCTCGAAACAAACGCGCTTGAGAGAGCCCGCGGCCGAGGCAGCACCCAATGGAGCTCGAAACAGACACCCTTGAGAGAGTCTGCGGCCAAAGGAGCACCCAAGGGAGCTCGAAACAGACACGCTTGAGAGCGCCCGCGGCCGAAACAGCACCCAAGGGAGCTCGAAACAGACACCCTTGAGAGAGTCCGCGGCCAAAGCAGCACCCAAGGCAGCTCGAAAGAGACGCGCTTGAGAGAGCCCGCGGCCGAAGCAGCACCAAAAAGCTCGAAACAGACGCGCTTGAGAGAGCACGCGGCCGAAGCAGCACCCAAGGGAGCTCGAAACAGACACCCTTGAGAGAATCCGCGGCCACAAGAGCATCCAAGGGAGCTCGAAACATACGC